TTATCTTTTATATCTTTTTCTTGTTTTTAATATTATATTTGTATTTTGAAGAAAATGTATAAATATGAGTTGTAGTTAAGCTCTAACTCAATATATCAGAACTTGAGAATAAATAATTTAATAAATAAATATCTTTTAAATCTTAAAAATAAATTTGCCTTCCTATCTTAAAAATATACTTCAAATCTTGTATTAAGCTGATCAAAATGTTGATATTAGATTATTAAATTGATATTTTGTTTAGACTAGTTTTTTGTTATAATTGAATTATTTGAAATTTCTTAACTAAAGATATCATAATCTCTTTCTTGTGAGAAGAATAAAATGAAAGAGTCTTCATTACTTTTGATATTTAAGTTATTTTAAATAAATAGTTAAATTATTAGTTACTTTAATTAAATAATTCATAAATTAATTAGTTAGTATAATTATTCAGAACACTATACCTAATTGAAATACTATTACTTTATCCTTTTTCTCTCTCAAACTATAATAATTTCAGTAAAAATTGACATAGAACTTAGATATTATTTTCATATTATTCTTATATTCATTTAATTTCCTTTTCTAACTCTTGTTCATGTTTATTAGCTAATTATCCAATTAGTAAAAAATGTGTAATAGTATTTTATATTCTAATATTCATATATATAAATTTACATATAAGTGAGTGGATAAATTTATATCTTATTATTTGTTGGTAAATCATCAATATATTATAATTGCACAAAGATTATCTAAAAAATATAATAAAGTATAGTAAACTTTTTTATCATTTATTCTTTATTAACAAACTAAGCATGATTATTTTTTAGATTTAATTAGTAATATGAATAAAATATCTATAGCATTTAATTTATTAAGTTAAATAATTATCAAAGAATGTGAAAAATGAATTATCTCAATTCTTATAACAGATTATGAATATATCTATTTTATAGTAACTCTTACTTGTTTTATAAATGATATTAAACTTCCCCTATTTATTATTTTTAAGTTAATTAATATACTATGAAAACAATTTCTAAATAGTATATATATTCATGCAAATTCAAGTAGCTAAATGAATGAGAAAGAAATGATTTGATAGATAAAGAATATATGACACTGATAAACTAATTTGTAGAATGAATCCTATAAAATATCACTTTCATAAGAGAAATATAAATATGACTATAATTCCAGGTGAACTAATTTCATATCTGCAACTATTAGATGTATTCTTGAATAAAGTAAAGATTAGTATTAGTATTATAAGTTAAATCTTGATTTTATATATAATGTAATATATAAGATAAAATATTATAAATTTAAAAAACTGTTTTAGCTTATAATATCAATATAAAAAATTTTTTTTATTAATTTTTTATTATAGATTTATTATACTTATAATTAATAAATGGATGAAATTATAAAGAAATATATATCAAAAAACAAAATTAAACAATTATACTTGCTAGTAGCAATCTGAATCAAAAAGATATGGGATAATATTATTTTAAAATATATATTATTTCTGTTGAGATTTTTTTCAGTATTTAAATATTAATCAATTTTACAAGATTTGATTTTGAAAAGTATCTGGATACTATTTGTAATTAAATTATCATGGATAATAAATAATATCTGAATTTTAATTATAAGGGTATTATTTTTGGAGAATACTATATATAGTGATCAATGATACTATAATATCTTGATATTTCACAAATGTACAAAATATTATTAAAAATATTACAAGAAACTTTTAAATAAATAACTCTTTGAGTATTCTTAAAATTTTAATTTAAATAATAAATTTAGAATTAAATAAATACAAAATATCAAAAAGAATATTTAAAATAAAAAGTAGAATTATTTCTTAAAGTATTATTAAAATATTCTAAAAATTTTATTTATATAATATTAAAAATTATTAAATTTTATATTATTGACATTTTAAAAAAATAAAAAATATGATTTTTACTAATAAATATTATTAAATACAAAATAAAAATATTATTTATATTTATAATCTTTATATAAATAATATATATAATATTTTTTTATAATTAAAATTAATATACTTTTTGTTTTAAACTTAATTTTATATATATTAATATTATTAGAACTATATTTTGTTGAGCAAAATTAAAAAAAATAATAAATTAAACAATATTTATATAATATTAAAATTTGTACTAATATTTATAAATATTATAAATATTATTAATTAAGTTAATTTTGAAGAAAAATTATTATATAGTTATTTAGAAATTTATTTTTTAGTAAAATTTTAAAATTTTAAATATTAATTTTAATTATTAAAATTTAAAACTAATTATAATTATAGAAAACCAATTTTATATATTTTTTTAATATAAAGAAACTAACTAATAATATCAATATAAGAAAAAAATATTTTATAATTAATAATTTATTTAAAAAATTTTATTTAAAGAAAAATTATATATAATTTTAAGTTTATCTTTAATAATAATTTTAAATTATTTTTTTATATATTTTAATAATTATTATTATTATAAAATTTATAAAAAATATTATATTATTTAAAAAGTATTATATTTTTTTAATAAAAAAATAATAAAAAATAAATAAAATCTATTAAAAATATACTCAGTAAATAAAAGTATTAGAAGTCAATTTTATTAATAAAATATAGTAAAATTAAAATTTTCTCTTTGTTATTAAGTTTATAATTTTATTAAAAAATAATTTTTGTTTTTATATTAAAATAAAATTTATAAGTTATAGTTTAACATATATTTTTTTGAAGAAGTTGTTCTAATGACAAAGTTATTGCAAAAATTTTTTTCAATTAAAAATAAAATTAATTAGAAAAAATTTTTGTAATAACTTTGCTATTAGAATAATTTCTTCAAAAAAAATTTGAAAAAATATATGTTAATCTATAATTTATAAATTTTATTTTAATATAAAAACAAAAATTATTTTTTAATAAAATTATAAACTTAATATAAAGAGAAAATTTCAATTTTTATTATGTTTTATTAATAAAATTAATCTCTGATTGCGAACTTTTGTTCACTAAGTATATGTTATAAATTAATAAAAAGATATTATAAATTAATAAAAATATTTAAATTAATAAAAAATATTTAAATTAATAAAAAATATATTAAAAATTAAAAATAATAACAAATTCAGCAAATTGTTAAAAAAAATACAAAAATTAAATATAAAAAATAATGAAAATTTATACTATAATCTATAAAAGAAATTGCATTATTTTAATAATATAATAATAAAAATTTGCTATTTGTTATATTATAAAATTATATTATTAATATTTAAAATAAAAATTTATTATTATTATATTATAATACTATTAAATTAAAAATAACTTAATTAAATTTACTTTTTCTTTTATCTAAGATAACAGATTTTTCTTATTTTTAATCTTTGTGAAAGTACAAATATAGATACCCGGAGTATTTTCATAATTCGATTTAGTATTCAGGGTATTTTTATAGAGAGGTTATACTGTATTAATATGGGCTTATATCGGGCTAAATGATCTCTAAGTTGCTTTTAAAGGCTCAATCTTTTTGAGCAGGACAATGACTCTAGGGTTAACCTAATGGCTCGTTGATTGGATTTTGGAGGCTTTTTTTTTCTTCGAATTTGTCTTATAAAATTATGCTGTACAATGCTCTCCTGCATCTAATACCGTGTGTAAATTACAATCTGGCCTTTAAAAATGGTGAGAGATACACCCCATGAGGGGGGATACATATGTCTGATTTTTATGGTATGTGTATTCTCAAGATGATGAAAATAGAATCGACAATTTGGATGTTTAGGCTTTTGATGTGTATCAATAATTAGGTATTAAAAGTCCTAATATCATTTTTTAAATAATTTGTTATCTCAATGCTTATTTTTTGTACAAATCATAAAGAGTTTGTTCAGTGTGAACCAACAATTTATTTTAATTAACAACTAATTTTATTAGAAGATTTTATATTATAATAAATTTTAATAAACCTTTTTATAATTTAATGTGATAATAAATGTTTACATATTATAGTCGAAAGAAAAGTTAATCAAGAAAACATCAAATGTTTCTATATAAATCTCTAATACCGTTTTCGAACGGAATAACCTTCTATTATTTACGGTCCCTAATAACTAAATATACATTAAGGTAAATGGATCACTATAACATATGTATTAATTTTTTTTAAAAAAATAGAATATTTCATATCAAGCGCCATCTAAACCTGTAAGTGAACCTACGGGTAACCTTCCAGTTATACCTCAAAGTGGATTTTCTTCAGATTTACCTTCGGTTAAGCTTTATCTGGATTAGGCTCGAGCACCAAGTTTTCCAACCACACCACCAAGTCTCCCTCCACCAGCTAAAGCTTTACCGGCACCACCAAGACCCCTCCGTCTCCTTTACCTTTACCTCCGACTGGTTGAGGTAATCCAAGAGCCGTGGATAAAAAAATTATAATAAGAATTATGAGTAAGTGATTGCATCGGAAATTCATTTTTATATTTTAGTGTATCGGAAATATTTTTTTGAGAAAGTAACTATGAAGCTTCTCTAGTTATAAGAATTTTTTACATTACAATTAGGTTTTATATATTGAATTTTATTATGCATGTATTATTACTAGTACTGGTACCATTACAAAGACATCTTTGAATGATACATGTACATGTATTTAGTTTGTGAAATCGATTACAGATCTGCCATAAAACGCTAAGGGACATTTACGTAGTCAGTACATTAAGTTACAATTTTTATCATATGCATAATTAAAAAAATCGATTCTTCCATATTGCTGTATACTTTGCATGCATGAATATTTATTTATCATATACGTACCACTACGAATACATCTTTGAATTATGTGTACCTTCGGTTACATTATGTGCATCTTTCAGTTACAGTGTCAGTTACAGCATGTGCATCTTTCAAATAAAGTTTCCAAACCAATTAATCAGATTAATAGGTATTTATTAAATGTACAACCTGGACTTTTACAACCGCATAAGGCACTTTTTTAATAACAAATATCTAATAGATTGTTACGAATTGCATACAGTTTGTCTTTAAGGAAGCTGCGTTTCAGATACCAGCTCAGAATCTGTGAGGCAGGAAACGCTAGTACTGATGTTTGTTATTGGCGCATTCAAACCGGTTTCAAGGTTTTTTCTTCCTGGAGATCAGATTTGTTTCTTGTCACTTATTCTTGCGTCTATCATAGCATTGATTGCAAGTCAAGCATTCGTACTGCGGATTGTAACCACGAGGACAGCATAAATCTATTTTCTTTTTTGAGCCAGAACAGCAAGTACATATCTTCTCAGAGTATTGACTAGGAATTTCAAAGAAAACGTTTTAAATAGATGGTCAATCATCAGGGAAAATGTGTCACTCGAAGCTTACATCAAATATTGTGAAATTGAGCGAAAGCTCCCTGTTAGCATTCGTTTGGTTGAAGGAAAAATTATAGCTTACGAAGTACCTCTCACGTCCCATGCATTGGTAGCAGGTGAAATTGCATCTTTGATACGTACCTGGAATAATCAACTACATAATGCACAAGAGGAGGATCTTATTGTGGGACCGAATAGTTACTATACTACTGATCTTACCATCCGACCACGAGGACTTCCTAGACCTCCAACTGGCCAGGGATCTAACTCAGAAGGGAGACCATATCCAACGCTGATTGTTGAAGTTGGCAACAGCGAGTCTGTTCCTAGTTTACATGATCTCTCGATAGGTTACTTTTCTCCACGAATTATGCATTTTACAAACTAATATAACTAATCTATTTTAAGTCATGGCACAATTACAACCTTCATTCGAGCTTTTCTTGCTCATTTATGATTGTATCGCAAAAAAGATCAAGGACAAGTGTATCCTTACAAGAAATAAACAAAGGCAATGTACTAGCGCAAGAAATATGACAGCATACAGGAGTCTCTAGTGATTGATGCATTTCGTTGGCATCCTCTGCATTATCAGTTAGTCTCGGTAGATCAGTATAGAAGTCCACTCATCAAAACGCGAGTTGTTGATACATTTCGTAAACTTCAGTGTCATACCTTTAAAGGCCAGTACTAATTGATAATCAATACGGCTAAGTTTACGTATGACGTTATAAGAACACCAAAATTTTCTAGAATGGTGCTCTTGTTTAAACCAGATTTTATCGTTATCTTTATCGTTATGCATATTGGCTTTTTTAAATGAGTTAGAATTACCTAACGAAAACTCCGGTTTACAATGCGAATCTAGTAAATTTATCATTATGCATGTACATGAGTCACTATGATTTTACTAAATGGTTTATGAAGCATTATTTATCCATGATAACTTCTCTTTTCGTTATGCTAAATGCATATAACACCTACGTATATTGCCGGATTACGTTACATCTTCTCATTTAAGCACAACGCGCGAATCGTTAAATTCGAAGCGAAGAAAAATCAATTCTATACTCTATATTTATCTAATAAAATAGATTATTTATATATCCACTTCAAAACATGGAAAATAATCTTGCCAACTATCATGTAAATGGACAAGAAACAATTAAAGATGAACAAAAATCATTCGAATGGTATTTGAAATCCGCAGAGTCAGGAGATCCACAAACACAATATAATCTTGCTCTCTGCTATCAAAACGGAGTAGGAACAATCAAAGATGAACAAAAAACATACGAGTGGTATTTGAAATCTGCAGAGTCTGGATTTCCTCAAGCGCAAAATAGTCTTGCTATCTGTTATGAAAATGGACAAGGAACAATTAAAGATGAAAAAAAGCATTTGAGTGGTATTTGAAATCCGCAGAGTCTGGATTTCCTCAAGCACAATATAATTTGGCCAATTATTACATAAATGAACAAGGAACAACAGAAGATCAGAAAAAAGCATTTGAGTGGTATTTAAAAGCAGCAGAGTCTAGAATTTCTAGAGCACATTTCATCTTACTCTATATTATGAATATGGACAAGGAAAAATCAAAGATGCACGAAATGTATTCGAGCGATGGTTTTTGGGATCCTCAGAGGGTGCTAAAAGACAATGTGAGCTCAGTAATTGTTATAAAAATGGTATAGAAATAGATGAGAAAAAAGCATTCAAATGGTATTTGAAATCAGCAGAGGGAGGAGATGTTATGGGGCAACTTAATCTCGCTTTATGTTATCAAAGTGGACGAGGAACAATCAAAGAAGAAGAAAAAGCATACGAGTGGTGTTTGAAATCCGCAACCGAGTATTATAAGGCCCAATTTATTCTGAGATATAGTTATGAAATAAACAAAAATACAAAAGAACGCAAGGGATTTTATTCAAATATCATCAAAAGATGGTAATTATCGATTCCATTTTCGACTTGGTCAATGTTATGAATATGGAGAAGGAACAGATAAAAATGATAATAAAGCATTTGATTGATATTTAAGTGCTGCAGAGTTCGAGCACAGTAAAGCTCAATTCAAAATCGGAGAATTTTATCAGCATGGAATAGGAACTTCCAAAAATCTCAATTTAGCTTTAATTTGGTATAAAAAGGCTAAAGAGATGGACATAATCGAGCTCCCGAAATGGTTGAATCTTTCGATTTTGAAGAAATTAGTAGTTGCATATTTTATTATATTTCCTTTGTTAATTTTTTTTAAACAGTAAACTTCAATATAATGAATCCTTTTGAATTTGTTTTAAAAAAGCTCCGAGATTTGAGACCCGAAGGGTCGAACCTATGCTAGGAGCATCAATTCATGTATTAATGCTCCTAGCATAGATTCAGCCTTTCGGGGTCTCAAATTTCGGTGAAAATTGGTAAATAGGTAGATTTCATAGAGTAGAACCTTTTTAATTATAATAGTCATGAAAATAAAAATTCTAGAAAGTTAATTTTCGTGTTTCGTTACATGTGTGAGCCACTGTATTTAGAAGTTGATTAGATTATTTATTCCTTCTTATTTAGAATAGGAGATTTATTTCCTAGACTTTAAAACATAACTTATCGCTGCCCTTGTTGATAACGATAGACTCGTCGATTTTTGCGATTGATTTATATCGATCAACAATACAGAACATACACTATCAAAGCACAAACACGGTTTGACGAAGTGTTCCAGAAATCGATATTTAGACGTTTCATAGTAGACAAATTCTGTGAATTATCTTCCTTATATTAGTCCAGAGTTGTTAAATGGAACGCCATACACTCAGGCAGATATTATAGTCTTGGATGATGACTACATGTACAGCACCCCAAAAAGTAACGCCCGATTTAAGTATAGTAAAAACTTTTTCGATTAAAAGTTCACCTTAACAAAAGTTCCCCTAAGTCTTGAAAAATATAATTGGTTAGCTTTAAAATGATATAAAATTTAGAAAAATTACTAGTATAAATATATATATACTTGACATTTTCGATTTTCATATATAAAGCGTGGGAAAAAATTTTCCATTTTTTATATCGATGTTTATTATACATGTACATACTGTATACATGCACCTATTACGTATGTATCAATCGCAATAATGATAAGTTAACAGCGATTCTTATAAATAGCCTACGGTGCAAGCTTTTTTCAAAAAATCAAAAAATCGCATTATTATTATCTAACGTCAACATAATAATTATCATGCATACAAAAATTTTCTTGATCGCTTTATTTATCCCATCAATTTTTGCAATTCCACTAATTCCACTCAAGCGTGAAACCCCATTCACTGTAACTATAAAAATCGGTAATTTGGCAACTGGGTTCTTTTCTGATGATGAAATTTCTACTGATATCAGCACATAAATTTTTATCATAAATAAGGAATAGAAATTATTTTTCAGTTACATATTTTAGTCTTTCATGAAATAATACGAATCATAACTATATATAATTAACATTAGATTAAAGGAATTAGAAAATACAATAGCGTGTTCATATCAATATATATATACCTTATGTGTTTAAAAATTGATTAAGTTATACCGATACATTTGATGTAGAAAGGAATTTTTGTAATTCTTAAAGTATTATACATATCTTAGTCATAAAAATCTGCAGTAATACTACATGCTTTAAAGAAACAGGAACTTGATAATTTTTATTTGTACATGATATGAAGCTAACGCCAATTTAATTTACATTCTTATACTGTATAAATAGTCTACTTCTTGTTTGTAAACTTTTATTCTTTTCTCAAAAAGAAGTTATTTGAGTCTTTCATGAATACACTTTCTTATTTTAATCGGATAAAAAGTCAATCCTGTAAATTTTACCTATATGATTGACATTACATGTAGTTAGAAAAGTGCATGTTTCGGAATTTGATGTACTTTGTTTTAGAATTCCGGAATGATATACGTCCTCGATGTAATGATACAAACTATTTTCATAATGGCGAAAGATTTCGTCACGTCATTCGTTGGACGAAACCATGACTAGAGGTCATATTCGAATATAATACAAATTCGAATACACTGTGAAAATTCGAATATTCGGATGTAATTCGGTTTATTTGAATTGGATTGCACACATTGGTCAAATCGAAAATTTGTCCAATCACATAACAAGATCACGTGATAAAGTGATTACGCAAAAGATGTCAAAAATCATTAATAACGCAATTGTATACTAAGATTATTAGCTCGAGTCGTTTAAGTAAAAATATCCCTAGGCAATTTTACTTTAGGAACTACTTTGTTCGATATAAAAAGTTACTTATTTATCTATCTATTGACAAACTTTTTGGGTATGCAAAGTGCATTATTCAAACACTTGGGCGATTATATTTTATTTTTATATATTTACCAAACAACCAAACAACCAAATATTACTACTAACTATACCTATCTTCTGAAATTAACAAGCTAGATAATTTTCAATTGTCTGCAATAATCTAAAAATTAAATAATCAATATTTAAATAAATAAACATAATGATAATTCAAATACATGGTGTGTTTTATATGGCGGAAAAATATTAAAATATTGTATATTTCTTTTTAAAAAAAGCATTCTGTTTACCAAATTTGGTTGAAGGCAAGTTCTCTTGGAAGTAATATGATTGCCAACATCAGAAAAAAGCTGCTCACTAGGTACTGAAATTGCAAGAAGTTCCAAATATTTGCATGCCAATTGTAACAAATGAAAAAATTTTTTCACCAATCAAAAGATCTTTATTTTGTCATGCATCAGAAAAATTCAAATATTGAATTATCTCATTTTCATATTATTTCTAGATTCATTAGTTCAAAGATTCAAAAAAAGTGAATTAAAATTTTGTTGTCTTGAATTAGTATATTGGGTAGATAATATAATATTTACAATAAATTTTGAATAAAATTCTTGCTGCAAATAAGTAATAATATTTTCATGCTTTTTACCAAAAATAAATTGTAAACTTTTTAATCATGAATCCAAGATTATAATTAACATTGCTTTATAGCTAGATATTTATCATGATTTATTCAGAAAAATATAAATTATAATATTTATTTTAGGTAATATTTTATTAATATTGGTAATTGTAAAATTCTTGTTTAATTAACATTATTTAAATTACTTGTTTAATTGAATTTTTTTGATTTTAATAATTATATTAATTATAATTTTGATTATAATCACAATTGTAATCATGATTATGATTATATTTATAATTATAACTATAATTATAAGTAAGAATATAACTAAAATTATAATTTAAATGCTGATAATATTATTTCAATCTTTATTTGTTATTATATTATCATTTTTATTATTATTAGTTAAAATTTGTCTTATTGAGATCAAAGTATTTTCAATATTTATCAATCTTTATTAAATATATAATTTGAGTTTTTTTAATTGAATTATAAAGTAAATTAAAATATATATTTAATAATTCATTTTTTAGAAACAAATTATTATATTAAAATATTATTATAGTAATAATAATAATTTTATAAATTTATAATTTCTAAAAATAATT